TTTGGTTCCTGCTGATGTTCCTACTGCTGAGTTTGGGATTTATGAAAATCCTAAGAATGTTGAAGATGACTCTGAAGTGTTTCCAAATATTGCAAGACTTCCAGATGCGATGCTTCGCAAGGTTGATCCCACAAACCCAATTCTCGTGGCTTATCTTCAATCAATCAATCCTTCTGTTGAAACTGGTGTTTTGCTACCCAAAGGAATTGCAGGATCTTCAAAATGAGGCAAAATTCCTAAGAAATCCTCAAAGGTTGAAAAACATAAAGTTGTTCCTGAAGTTGTTATGAAACCTGTTATTGAGTCTGTTCAAGAATCCATTGTCCAGGATGTTCAAACGGAGGTGGTTCCTTCGAAGACTGGTATTTTAAAACGTATGAAGAAGCCTGCTCATAGACCTCGCCATTCACCAGATCTGAGGCCTATTATTGAAGATGTTCATGCACAAACTGTTTCTTCACCCAAGAGATCTTTTGCTTCAAATTTACAAAAGATTCGAAAAACTTAGATCAATCGAAAGGGGGTGATTATTCATGAAATCCCTGCTCCAGTTTCTCCGACTTCAAAGAATTGAAGAGCTCGTAATTTGGTAAAGAAGATCCAGAAGAAGCAAAAGAAGTTGGAAGTGTCACTTGATGAAGTGGTGGTTGAGTCTAATTTCGAAGACGAGGGTACTCCATCTCCAATTGGACTTGAAGACATGGGCTTCGAATCATCTTAGAGGGATTCTCCTGTCAATTCGAATCTCGAGGCGACTAGAAATCATGGTGGCGGTGTGAAAACATCTAATGTGGTCACAACCACTAATCTGGGTAATCCTTATCTTTTATCCATCCCTGAGCAGACACATGTCATACCACCTGAAGTTTTGTCTGCCAAGTCCATTCCGGAGGAGGTACGAACTTCAGACATCACTGTGGACATATCTAATATGGACATAAATGTCAATATGGGTGATGGGGTGTTGACGCATGAAGCTCTATTTATTTCGAATGTCTCTACTTCATCTATTCCTATTTCTATTATTACTTCATCCACATTCGAAACCACAGTTATTGATACATCCCTTTCGTTACCACCATTCATTTCACCAATTCCCACATCTTTACCTGCTTCCACCATCTCGCCTACTTTTTTGAATATTATGGGTCAACCTATCGCCTATTTATTTTCCTCAGAATCAACCGATGGTCCAAAGTCTACTTCGGAGGTTGAACAGGATAATGATGACTATATGGTTTTTTTGGCGACATTTTATTTGATCCTGAGGAGGAGAATATTCCTGATCACATGTTGATTTTAGGAAAGCAATTTAAAATCCTGAATTGAAAGTTGAATTCTTTGCTTGAACTTCAAGTTGATACAGGAAGTCGCAATACCGTGTCAGGCATTGAAGTCGATCATCTGTTAAAATCCCAAGAGCATCATTTGAAAACCATCATGGAACAAATTGATATGAAGAATGAAGAACACTTGAACCGATAATCTGATTCTTTTATTCATGAGGTTAAAGACTTGAGGACAGTTGCAAAGGAACGGCATCTTCTCTTTGTTGAAGCTGTTAAAAGAGTGCAGGAGGATGTTAATTCCAAGGTTGAAGAACTTCGATCTGAGATGACAAAGGAGGTTGCTGAGGTTGATCGGAACTATTCTAATCTTCATACTAAGATTGATATAGTTGTTGATGTTGTTACGAAGATCATTGAGTTCTACGCTTATCTTCTTTCCAAAGTTGATTTGAAGTCTAAGTCTGATTCCAAGAATTTTGTGAATCTGGAAGAATTATTGGCGAATGTGAAGGAGTTAATTTCGAAAGTTGATGTTTCTCCTTCATCTTCAGTTTCTCAAGACACATTGTCCATAATGTTTTCTACATTGGAGTCCAATCTAAAGGCTGATCTAGCTCCTCTGATGAAATTTGTAAATTTGATGCCTTCGGATGCCCCACTTGTTAAAACACGGGTGCAAGGGGGTGAAAAGGTTGGTGCTTCTAGTGTTTCGAAAGGTGTTGATACTGGTTCATCCAAAGATCACTATCAAGGAAAGGTTGTAGGGATGGTTATGACTACATAGATTCCTACTTCGCTTCCAACCTCAATGTCAACTACATCAACTACCAGAACTTCGAAGCCTTTAACTAAAGGTATTGTTATTGGTTCATCTGCTGGTGGATCAAGTTCGAAGCCACCTCTATCAATGGAAGGAAAAAGAGAAGGGTATCAACACTAAACCAAATAAAGAAGAGAATAAGACTGCCTTAGAAAAGGAAATGGAAAGACAAAGGCAAATTCAAAGTATTCTAAGACAAAGGCAAGGAGACCCACCTGGTCTTTAGAAGGGTGACCAAACAAAACCATACTGTTACGAGACAATCGAACATATTTTTTGCCTTAGTAACATGCATGATTTTCTCAAAGTCCCAAAGAAAAGCTATGAGATAGAAAATTCTAACTTCAATCAACTGGATTTTTCTATCAACCACATGACATTCATATCCGCTTAGTATCAATTAACTGATAAATTCAAAGATAAAGAAGAGTTCAAGAAGCTAAAAATGAGATTTCATGCAGTACTTGGAAAGAAAGAAGAAGAGATCTGGTCATTGGTAAAAATTGTCAAGGTGTAGGAAAATTACCAAGGATCAATTATTCGAAGGGTTATTGCAGAACTTTCGTTTTCACATAATTTGTGCTAATAATGTGGCCTGTGATTTCACAGTGGCTGACTTTCCTTTGATAAATCTTAATGATCTCATTTGTGTGGCAAAAATCTTAAGTGGGGTTGATGCTTCGAAACTCCTGGTGCACTACTAGAAAAACAGCCTTTTACGACGCGCAATGTGTGTCGTAAAACGCTCAGACGACGCGCAAATGCGTGTCAAGGAAGGCCCTGTCATAACGAGAGACGACACGCTTTTGCGCGTCGTCTATTTACGACGCGAATTTACGACGCGCATTTATGATACGCGTTTACGACGCGCAGTTATGACACACAATGCGTATCAAGGAAGGCCCTGTCATAAAGGAAGACGACACGCATTTGCGTGTCGTAACCTTACGACGGGCGTGTTTATGACACGCAATGTGTATCAAGGAAGCCCCTGTCAAGAAAGGTCATGTCATAAATGAAGATGACACACATTTTTGTGTATCGTAATTTTAAATGTTAAAAAAAATATTATTTATAGATTTACTAATTTTCAAATAAAATTTGCATTTAACGTCTCATAACAAAAAATAAAATACCATCTACAAAAAATACAATCCATTGCATAAAATTTAATGTCATACAAATAATTGATCCATGGAAAGATAAAACAAATCAATAGAAATTGTTTTCTCCCTATGCATGATAATTACATACTAAATAACAAACTTTATTTCATATTCATACATATGATTACATTATTCATTAAAAAAAACATATACCTACATCTTCGCCTAAAATTTTATTACATGATGCAAGTTGGCCACTTCATTGATGGATCACCAAGAGGAAGACCAACAACTGCCCTAAAATGTTCCATGATGTGCCCATACTCGTGTCATGTAACTTTAAACATTTAATAAAGTAAAATACCTCCTAACAATAAAATTGCACAAGAAACAACACATCATAATGAGAAATTAGTAACATGAATGGAAGAAGTACACTATAAATTTGTTTTACCAAGAGTGGCATGGACGATCAGGTGCTACAAGTTTACCTTTTTTACCTCATATCTTTATTTTTTTATTCTTATTAGCCATGGAGTGTTGGTGTTTTCTTTTCTCTCATTCAATCAACCCTTAACCCTTTTTTAATTATGATGAGAGGTTTCTCTGGAAAATTGAAATCTTAAACGAGCAGTGATTCTAATCCCACGTAGAATGCGAGCTGAGTCAAATAAATGCAAAGAATTATGAGAATCAATTTATAACTATCCAAGCTTTCATAAAACAAAAACCAGAACAAAACAATATCAGTAAATACATACCTTGCGAAGCTATATCAGTGTACTTGTCACTAAAGGCATACACATTGACTGCAACTTGATACATTGTAACTGTGATGATTGAAATAACAGTTGCAAGTTTGCAAATTTAGGGATTGCTTTTTTTGCAGCAATCAAGGAACTTCACCTCTGCTTCTCCAACAAAGGAACCAAATATTAAGGTAATTGTGTTATTTAAATAGTTTTTTTTATTGTAAATAAGTAAATATATATAATTTATATATGTGGTTCAGGTTCCAGTGGCGATGTTTGGGGCGTCTGGAAACTATGCAGCTACAAAAGCCAAAACATTGGAAAAAGTTGAAGCAGAGCTTCTTGATCTTGTTGCAGCCTCTTAGAAATCTCCAAAATTTTCACAATTCATGAAGGATTTGGCAGTGCCTGTAGATAGCTCAGGGGCAAAAAGGTAATTTGACATAGAAAAATGTAGCATGATTATTTTGCAGTGCGACATAGCTCAGGGGCAAAAAGGTAATTTGACAGAGAAACATGATTATCTTACCATGTATGAGCAGAAGGCAAACGATCAGAGCTTCCATAAACTTTGTGAATCTGATTGGTGGTGCTAGTCTTTGGAGTAGCTTGAAATCCATTCCCAAATCCAGGCGTCACCTCCCTTTCAGACAGCCAATAAACATGTTCGTATCAGACACAACTAATAAACCATATTAATTCTTCAAGAAAATTTAAATAAATACACAATGGGGGTTACTCATCTTACTAAATGTAGCAATTTGGAATTCAGACAGCCATTCAACCTCTCTTACAATGGGGGTTACTCATTTCTAGAAAGAGACCTTGGAGATTCCTCCTTGTGAATCGTCTAACTAGAAGTGGGACATGTTGAAGAATAAAATCAAAGGATCAGAACATGTCCATAAAAATACAAGACTACAAGGACAACAATTTGTAAGCATCAACTACAGAGTCACTATATGAAGACCTTCACTTGTATAGAATGCTACCTCACAGTATACACCCCCAAAGATGAAGAAAGTTTAAACCCCTATAAAAGGTGATCTGACCAGTGATGTTGCTGTTAAGTTTCACAGATATGATAATATTGGATTAATAAAATATTTAAGAAAACGGAAGGGCAGCTTTGTAAATTGTAATTGAACCTTCTCTGTGGATTCAGCTTTGTTCTCGGGTCCTAAAGTTTCAGTGGCGGTGCCTCTTGTTTGGCGCCATATACAAGCTTCATCTAGCGGCTCCACAAGCTCTATATCTTGAGGGATTTCTACTTTCATCTGTATGTTTGTCCTGCCTGTTTGTTTCATAACAACACACCATGCTTTTACCTAATATTTTTTTACTAAAGAAAAATAGATACAATGGTGAAATGAAAGAGCATGTAGATAGAGACAGTTAATTAATTACCTGGTAACAAGCTGAAATGTTGAATATGATCCACAGGAAGTCCCAAGACACCAAAACCACTGTCACATCGGTAGAAAAATGTATACATACATGAGTGTCCTAAACAGGTCGGGTCGGGTAATGGGTTATAGAATAGAATAAGATTACTCATGCAACATAAGCTGATTCCATAAGTGGGATCAACCAGTATCGCAATCCAAACATTCCAAAATTTGAGAACTCGAAGCTTGTCATTGAGTCACAAGTTTTGTTGTATTTCAGCACCACCTGACCATCTAACCACTCTCATTTCTTTGAGGATATTGTAGTTCATCAATTAAAAGAAAAAGAAAATATTTAATTTTACCTGTGTCACAAATTACGATATTGTCCTGAAAAGTTGCCACGGAAGAGAGCAGACCCGCATGTGAAATACCCTCCACCGAGAAATCATTTTTTGGAAGCTGACTAGGAGGTATTTCTTTTACAAGGGATAATTTCTCCTTTATCAACTGTCCACAGATCTCTATAATCTTTGCAGATCCTTCACAACATAAACGATTAATAATTAACAAGATAATTAATTGCAAATGTCGAAAGATCATCATCTAGATAATAGAAGTCAAATCTTTGACCACTTCTTTAATGATACCATATGACAGATCTAAGTTCCATAAAGTTTCAAAACTGCATGAAAACATTATATAGGAGATTAACACATACCACTTAATAGTATATCCTGTTAATTAAAATATGACATGTAAAATGTGGTTTACCTGCAGTTGAGAATAAAGAGGTCGTTTTCTAGTGACTTGAGAAGATGTCAGGGGTAAAAAAGTAATTGAGGATCAACTTCCTCAGAAAAGTGTAGTGTAGGGCTACATTAATAATCTCATGACATTGTATAGCATTACACTTACAAATTTTTACTAATCATGTAACATCCCAACTGTCAGGTATTATTAATATTTTTCCTTTTTGACTTCACGTTTAAGGTCTACTCGACGAGTGGGAGCTATGACTCGTCGAGTAGCAGCAGGCCAGGACACGTCAACTAATGAGTGACTCATCGAGTAGGAGCTGGCAGTGGAAACCCTAATTTTCAGGGTTTTTGCACCCTATATATTGGACCATTAGCGCCTCCCACTGTCCTCTATCACCCTCTTAAGACCCATAAACACTAATTGCGGTGAGTGAGAGCTTGGAGAGTGTTTTGGAGCTTTGGGGAGTGACTTTTGTGAAGGAAATTTGTAGATCAAGAGGCTAGCATCAAGATTTCTGTGTGGATCCAGAGTCTACTTCGCTTTGGGCACGTTTTGGAGGTAACCAGTTGATACCTTAACCTCTTTTCTTTTAAGAATCATTCATATGTGAAAGCTAGGGATTTCTTTAGTTATTCATGAAGGGATTTTGGTATGGGAGCTAGATCTGAAGTTGAAACTTCAGATCTGAACCTCTTTTGAGTCCTAAGTCCATAAAGTTCCCAGCTCTTGGAAGGATGAGACTCTCCCAAGGTGTAAAGCTCCATTAGAAGCTTAGATTGGTCATTTAGAGCCTTTAGGGCCTTGCATGTGTGTAAAGTTTGCAACTTTACGTGTTAAACATGCCTTAGAAGCTTGGATCTGTAATCTGGAACCCTGGCATGGCTTAAAAAGTGTCTGCATGGATGCAGGTCTGCAAGGACTCGGCGAGTTGCATAGTCAACTCGGCGAGTCATATGAAGATGGTCGTGAACTCGTCGAGTTGATGAACAAACTCGACGAGTCCGTTGAAGATTTCCTTGAACTCGGCGAGTCGTTCGAAGACTCGGCGAGTCGGCTAGGGTTTCTCCCAATTCTTGGACACGTATGAACTCGGCGAGTTAAAGGGGAACTCGACGAGCCAATCAAGGATTTCACGACTTCTCGAGTTCAGGAAGGACTCGACGAGTCGGTGAACTGCACTCGACAAGTCGAGTCAACATGGACTATTGACTTTGACTGTGGACTTTGACTTTGACTGTGGACTTTGACTTTGACCAAGAGTTGACCAGTTGACTTCTGATAGTATTCTGGTAATTTGGAGATTTACGAAAAAGGGTTTTATGGTAACGATAGGTAGTGGAGTTCGTGTTGGTGATCTGGGAGTTGAGCTTCTAGTTTCAGACGACAGTTGCGAGGTGAGTTTTCCTCACTATACTCAAGGGTCTAAGGCACCACGGCCGGCCCTTTGGATTATTATATGGTCATGTTATGCTAGTATAATCTGTTAGATCGGTATCCTAGAGGGTAGGATAATATTATATGATATGTGGTATGATCTGTTAGATTGGCATCCTGGTGGATAGGATGGTGTTATGTGCTATGTGGTAAGATCCGTTAGATCAAGTATTGTCTATAGACTGTTATGTAATTATCTATTATATGTGCACATGTTTGTTTGGCGGTTGAGGCTTATCTGCTCGGTGCGAAGGCCAATAGACCTGGGCATTCCAACCTGTAGGTTGTGGGCCGCGAGTATTCCATCCCGAGGATGATTGGACTCAGAGTATGTGGGCATTCCAACCGGTTGGTTGTGGGCCTGGGGTATTCCAACCTGATGGTTGATTGGACCCATAGTGTACTGGCAATCCAACCTGTTGGTTGTGGGCCTGGGGTATTCCAACCCGATGGTTGATTGGACCCATAGTGTGATGTTATGATTCTATGTGTATTGTTGCGGGTATGGGTATTTTGGGGGAACTCACTAAGCTCTCGGGCTTACAGTTTCAATTTATTGTTTCAGGTACATCATGATCGTACAGCTCCTCATGTTTTGTCTATGTTTCTAGGAAAACTCTGATATTATACATTTTGAAAACAAAGTTGTAATGATTTTTAATGGTTTGAAATGTTTTTAAAAGTTTAAATTGGTTTGAATTTTGGGTGTTACAAGTTGGTATCAGAGCCTTGGTTTGAGTGAATTGGAGGAACATGCGTGTAACTCCAGTCTCAAATCAAGGAAAGGATTTTCAAAATGATTTCTTTAAAAAGGTTTTCAAAATAAGTAAAGGAGGATGCAGGATGTACGATCAGCCAGAGCCAGTAAGTAGCCCCAAAATACCATACAGTTATTTGATATGTTAGAACATCATGCTAGTGCTAGGCTAGGGGTCTTCAGGAATTGCATGATTGTATGATGCCTGATAGCCTAGGGTTTCCCTTATATGATATTGACATCATTACTATAGTTGCTTAGTGTATGCATCACGGTCGTACATAATTAAGATCTTATAGCCTAAGAATGTTTGATTTAGCCTTATGTTCTGTTCTTGTTTGATTGGGAGCTTAGGGTAGGATTGGATATTCGAAAGTCTATAGGGTCTAGCGTTATGTATGACTGGCACACACTAGGGCTGCAGGGGTTGGTGGAAGTTTCATGGATGGGTGAGTTGTAGGGGACCGGTAGGTTAGTTGTGAGACGGTTAGCCTTCCTATAGGAGTGAGGATTGAGTGTTCTCTATGATATGTATGTTGTTAGGGTGTTGTGGTGATACTTGAGACAAATATGGGTAGGTGTGGAAGGTAGTATGGGCCCGTACTACTGAAAGCACAGGACCCATACGCGTAGCAAGGAAGTCACAACCCCTAGGGATTAGTCGGGAGTTGGTTCCCAGTTACTTATGTGGATTGTCAGATATGTTCCTGTTATGTTTCAGAATGGCAGTTACGAGGCGTTTCACGTCGGGGTCCGGATCAGGATCAGGACAGGGTGATCAGGAGGCCCCAGTGGCACCTGAGGCTATCGGCCAGGAGGGGCCAATGTTGACAGAGGATCGGGTCAGGGAGATCATCCGCGAGGAGGTGGTCGAGATTGTCCGGGGTCAGATTCCGGAGTTGTTCGGGACTATTAAGTCCGATATGATGGAGTATTTCGACGACAGATATGCAGCCCTCGCTGAGACAGCTGCCACTGCAGCGACCGCGGCTGTAACAGCGGCGGGAGGGGGAGCGGGGCGAGTTTTTCAATACAGGGACTTCGATAACACAAAACCCCCTACCTTTGATGGGACGCATGATCCCATCAAAGCTATGAGGTGGACATCGGATGTGGAGGGGTGTTTCTTCACCTGCTCGTGTCCTACTGACCAGAAGGTCAGGTGTGCTCTGAACCTGCTAAGGTCCGGGGCCAAGGACTGGTGGAGACTTGCGACTGGGTCGTACACTGATGACCAGAGAGCTGCTGTTACTTGGGAGCAGTTCAGAGACATGTTCCGCGCCCGTTACATTCCACGGGTCGAGCGGGAGCGTTTAGCACAGGAGTTTCTGAGTTTGAGACAGGATGGGGAGTCGGTGACGGAGATCACCCGTATGTTCACTGAGAGGGCGATGTTTTTCTCGGAGTTTGCTTCCGAGCAGGCTCAGATGACCCGTAATATGAGCATGCTCAAGACTGACATCCGTCAGTTTGTGTCTACCCAGCGATGTGATACACTTCTGGAGTTGCAGGAGGCCGCTAGACGGCGTGAGTTGGAGATTGAGCTGCAATTGAGGGAGCAGCGGCAGGCCCCGGCACAGTCACAGCCGGTGCCAAAGCGGTCCAAGACCACTGATACGAGGACTGGGGGACAGGCAGGCCACACTTGTGGGAAGTGCGGGAAGGCTCATTCAGGGATGTGTCGGACAGGGAGTGGGTGCCACCGATGTGGCAAGCAGGGCCATTTGGCCAGGGATTGCAGGCAGCCGACTCCGACATCCGGAGTCAGGCTTTGCTATCATTGTGAGAAGGTGGGCCATATGAAGGCCCAGTGTCATCTACTAGCCGCCAAGCCGGCGCAGGCTCCAGCGCCGACTACCTTGAGGATCACGGATGGGAGACCAGTCAGGGAAGAGCCTCCGAAGGCTCAGGGTCATGCTTTCCAGTTGATCGCAGAGGAGGCCAGGGCAGCGCCAGATGTGGTTGCCGGTATGTTTCTCCCCTCTATCTCATTTATTATAATTGTGTTATGCTTATCTGTTGTACCTGTGATTAGGTACGTTTTTAGTGAACTCTTTGCCTAATTTGGTTTTATTTGACTCGGGGGCGAGTCGTTCTTTCGTATCTCAGTCATTTAGTAGGGAGTTCAGTGTGCCAGTGGGCGAGTTAGAGTGTCCGTTGCGAGTGTCTATCGCCAACGAACACGGGGTTTCTGCTTCTTCGGTTTATCGAGGGTGT